TTCAGTATGGACTCCAGGGCGAAATTTTCTGATAATAGCTTTTCGATGTCTCCGCGAAAAACTGTCCAAATTTTAGCCAAAACCTCTCGTTCTCGGCTAATTTCTCGGCTAATTTCTCGCATTTTGAACACATTTCAGAATATATATTGAAAGCATTTTCCTTCAGCGGTTCCTTTTTGACTGTAAATACATTCATGTTTGTGTATCGTGACAATAAGGACTTTAAGATCCAACGACGCAGACGACAACAAGAACGTGAACGTGACCACGACGTGAAAATGCCTAATTTCGCGTTTTATGGAGAACATAAATAAGCAACGACCAAATTTTATTTCTCTTTCTGAGCTTAAATATGGTCCCTTGAAATTCAGCTTCAGGAGGGTTCGCCTACAATTGACAAAGTAAGTGGGTAAGAATAATCGCTATAAAGACTGAAAGAACGCAATTTCACTTTTTAAGCGACGTTCTTGTCGCCGTCGCGTCGTTGGATCTTAAAGTCTGTAAAGTCCCTATTGAAAGAAAAAGTCTAGAAAGCAAAACCGTCTTTAAACTAACGCGACCTGACATAGGTGACATTATTTTTCCCCGTGGGACATAAGTAAACCAGACATCTTAGTTTTCTTCGAACAAACAACTACTTACATCAACCTACAGTACTATCAATTCACGGTCGGAAATATCTGACACTAAGACAATGTTTTTAGACACGGTTGTATACACACAGGGGCACCCAAAGATGGTTTCCTCCTAAACACATTGAAAACACTTTTTAGGCTTTCCAGAGTACTTTTAGATATCCAGAAATGCATTCTAAGCGGCGCTATAAAATTTGTATCTGTTCGGTCGTCCTATTGCTGTATTGCTGATGAGTTTCAGCTTCGAGTAATTTGCTTTGACCGCCCATCTAATGTTACATTGATTACTTTTTTTTATTGTGCCCTGTAATCAACAGGGGAAACCAAGTTCGCATTTACAATAAAAGCTTTATAATTGGTGATTTTATCGGTACTATACTGGCAAACAAAGGTGAAATAAACGATCATTTTGCATGAAACAAACGAGAGTTAATGAAGTTTAAGTGCAATCAAATGATGCATTCTTACAAGTTTTGCACGTTTTATGGGGATCAAAGTCTTAACACTGGGTGAAATGCATAACAAATATTAATAATTAAGCAAGAAAAGAAACTTGACTGTGTTTTTGATCAGACAATTTCTTTGTGATGATCTTCCCGTCAAATTTGTCCAATCCGAAGTCGATACAACCTTTGTGAAAAATACTCATCCTTAATGACACGACGATAAAGTACAGCATTAAAAAAAATTGTACCCAGGTGGCCCAAATGATAACCAGTACTAAATCAGGTCTGAAATCAAAGAAACCAGCAAACCATGCAACTTACCTAATTTTGTTGGTTCTACCTTCTTAGTTGAATTCTTAAGCTCCTGTTCAATCGCGTCCAATTTTCTTTTCATTTCGATGATCATGTTTTCGAGCTTCTTGTTGTGACCCGCGTAGAAGCTGTTGTAGTTGTTGATGTTGCAAGAAGGCATTGTCGAATCTAAGCGATTCTGTTTTTGCGTTGTGGCTGTTTCCATCGTTTGCAGCACCGACAGAAAACAGATAAAGCAAACAAAAATCATTCTGAGCCGGAGTTAAGCAACCTTCGACTTTCGATTTCAGTCTTCTATACCTCGCGGGGTGAAGATAAAGGAGAAATGATAGCCAAAAGACGAGGTATTTGGTATACAAACTTTAAAACTTCCTCTAATGACCCTTAGAAACTGACAACTTGATACCAAAATTACGAAAAGTAGCCTCAGACGTGCCATATTGGTGACTTCTGTCTAGGCTTGTTTTGTTCCCTTCAACCAAAAAAGGCAAGGTCGTTGACAGAATTGATATGTTGACCTTGCCAAAGAATATTTTTTGCACTCTTACGCTACATAGCTTTCCTCTGCAGATCAAACATTATTGACCAAAGGTGAAATAAACGATCATGTTGCATAAAACAAACGAGAGTTAATGAAGTTTAAGTGCAATCAAATGATGCATTCTTACACGTTTTGCACGTTTTATGGGGATCAAAGTCTTAACACTGGGTGAAATACATAACGAATATTAAGAAGAATTCTAAGCGATTCTGTTTTTGCGTTGTGGCTGTTGTTTCTATCGTTTGCAGCACCGACAGAAAACAGATAAAGCAATCAGAAACCATTCTGAGCCGGAGTTTAGCATACCACGCGCGGTGAAGATAAAGGAGAAATGATAGCGAAAAGACGAGGTATTTGGTATACAAACTTTAAATCTTCCTCTAATGACCCTTACAAACTGACAACTTGATACCAAAATTACTCAAAATAGCCTCAGACGTGCCATTTTGGTGATTTGTGTCTAGGCTTGTTTTATAATATTATAAACTCTTCTCTTCAACCAACAAAGACAAGGTCGTTGACAAAATTGATATGTTGACCTTCCCAAAGACTTTTTTTTTTCACTCTTATGCTATATAGCTTTCCTGTGCAGATCAAAAGATTTTTGACCAAAGATGAAATAAACGATCATGTTGCATCAAACAAACGAGAGTTAATGAAGTTTAAGCGCAATCAAATGATGCATTCTTACAAGTTTTGCACGTTTTATGGGGATCAAAGTCTTAACACTGGGTGAAATACAGAACAAATATTAATAAGAATTCTAAACGATCCTGTTTTTGCGTTGTGGCTGCATGTTGTTTCTATCGTTTGCAGCAGCGACAGAAAACAGATAAAGCAAACAAAAATCATTCTGAGCCGGAGTTAAGCAACCTTCGACTTTCGATTTCAGTCTTCTATACCTCGCGCGGTGAAGATAAGTCAGGAGAAATGATAGCGAAAAGACGAGGTATTTGGTATACAAATTTTTAATCTTCCTCTAATGACCCTTAGAAACTGACCGTGACTTGATACCAAAATTACTCAAAATAGCCTCAGACGTGCCAATTTTGGTGATTTGTGTCTAGGCTTGTTTTGTTGCCTTCAACCAAAAAAGACAAGGTCGTTGCCAGAATTGATATGTTGACCTTGCCAAAGACTTTTTTTTTTTTTCACTCTTATGCTATATAGCTTTCCTGTGCAGATCAAAGCATCGTTGACCACACGATGAATTTCTCCCGGTATTGAAAGAAAATATCAATCAATAACTAAAGATCAGTGCCCGGTTGTTCAAAAGTTGGATAGCACTGTCCACGGGATAAATCGCTATCCAGCGGATAAGTAGTACGAGAAACCAATTGCGTTATCCACTGGATAGTGACTTTTATCTTGAACGAATGGAGCCAGTTTCAAGTTAAATTAAAGCGCTCTTGAGTTAATAGAGCCTGCAAAGATCCGCATGAAATAAAACTGAAGTATTTAAGTCGTTCACTGTTGCTGATCAGTAGTTGGAAGACGGAAGTCGGAATTAAAAAAAAAAAACGTAAATCGGAAATTGGAAATCGGAAATCGGAAGTCAAAATATGGAAGTCGAAAGTCGGAAGACCCTCCTCGCCTTTCGTACTTGTCCAATCCAATCCAATCCATCAGGTTTTTCGGCCGCTTACTTGAAGTTTGAAGTGAAGTTTGAAGTTTGAAGTTTGAGTTTACTTATTAATGGTCATTAATAAATACGTAGCAATTCGAAAACTGAATTGCGTATTTACGTTCAATAAATAAAATTACACAGATTTAGTTATTCTATCTATTTAATTCTACTTGGCCTGGAGTTATAAAAACCGGGTTATAGCAAACATTTTGTAATTCTCTTAACTTTCCCTGTCTAATAGCTTCTTTAATAAGTTGTTTGCTTATGTCTTTTTCTGGTCTTTTTATTGTTGTTGTTGTTGTTCGTTTTGTGGTTAGGGATTTGTGTCGAAGTGGCTGTAGACAAAATTTGGAGAATTTCTATCTAGCCCCCCACCCTCCCCTCCCCGAATTCATTTTTTTTTATTGGGCGGCCCGTGAGGGCAACGCCCAATCATAAAATGGAGGCCGCCTCCTCTGTGCAGCAAAAAGACAATATTACTGACAGAACTCCCAAAAGGCTTTGCGTGTCCCATTCCTCTTCAATGGGACCGATTTCAACGAGAGGGGACAGGTCATTTCGGGTCAGATTTGGAAGTCGATTTGGGACGAACACAAAATTATTGCATGAAGTTATTAAGCCTATATCTACGCCGAATGATTTTGTAAATACGGTATTCGAAATGCGATATTAGCCTGTGCGGGAGCTGCAGAAACAATGCCATCCCACGATGCCCAAGGGAAAAGCTTTAACCCATTGCAATTCTCTCCCTCCGTGTGGATCGAAAGTAAATACAAGAAGGAATATACTATTTGTATATCGTCCCGTTAAACAGAAACCTATTCACGTTGATAGTTAGGAGGTCTTTAAATGCAATATCGGACAGAAAAACTGAAACTTAATTTTCTTTGCGAAATTTAAAGAACAGAAATTACTATTAAAAGGAATTTAAACCACCAAAACTGACACTGTCACATTTTTGTAAGCCTAGACTGAAAATAATTTTTGGAATTTCTGGTTAGATCAGATTAGTCACTGTCATATACTATATAACTGGTGGCAGAGGCATTGGGGAATGGGCAGCCTGTGTGCAGACCCCTCCCACTTCCCCTCAGGAAAAATCTGAGGGAAGCGGGAGGGTCTGCACACAGACTAGTGAAGGGGGAGAGTTGCGCAAATTAATGTCCCAGTTAAAAATAATGCCAATCGCTTCTCGCTTCAAAAGGCTATCTCTTAACCCATTCCACGGCCGCCCAATGAATGGGGGGTCTTGTTTTGTTTTGTTTTTTTTTTTCGATCCTACCCACAATTCTCTATTCAAGTTAAGTGACAGTTATTTGAAATCAGTGCGCGCCTAAAGCTGGCTTCGGTGGGTGGCTCAAACAGTTAACACCCGTGAAAGAGCTAAAAACATGGTGGCTTGAACAGTTAGCACCATAGAAAATAGGGTGGCTCAAACAGTTAACTTCCGTGAAAGAACTAACAATATGGTGGCTTGAACAGTAGCACCATAGAAAATAGGGTCACGTTTTTGTTGCCTGTTTTACCGTACCTTAACCGAGATTTTGTTTCCTTGTTTCATCTAGATAGAAGCTATAAGGTGTAGTCTTGTATTTTATTCCCAAAAAAGGGCTTTTCTTGTCAACTAAACGAGGCAAAGAAGTGGTGAAGTCATGTTTAGTATTGGAAACCCTAAAATTTAACTTCTATAGATTGGAGAGATTGGCACTGGTTGAACAATTTTTGGATAGTAAGGATGGTTAATTCGCTTCATAGTGGGTATGACCTTATTGGGAGTGGATAAGGGGCCCATCTGAATGATGAATATTAGGTTAGGGTTACAGGTACAAGCCGCCTTTTAACTGTGTTTAGACCGTAGCACAAAGCGGTTTTATAAACTCTAGCGTGGCATGAAGTACACTTGCTAAAACTTACGGAACAATTTCTGCTTTTTTCCTTTCAAGGGCAGTTCATCATTCAGCATAAACAATCAGCATGGCTGATTCACATTTGAAGTCGCTGTCTTTTAACTTTACCTGACCTATCTATTCTTGCCCCCAAGCCCCTTCCATTTCATTAATACTTTTTAACAGTTCTTGCATGATGCGAGACTTTCGACGTCGATGAGGATAAGAACTTCACACGATCTACATGTACAGTTACTCTTTATTTTCCCTTTACAAAAGAAAAGCCCATACGAAATTTTAAAGCTGCAGGGAATGCTTCATTCTTAATGTTGGCTTAAATTTTTTGGACTTGACGCTTTTCTCCAGGATCATGCTGAAAAGGAAATATAACAGCAAACCAGGTTAGCTATGGACTTCTGAGTCTTGAAAAAATTGCAGTCAGGAATCTACAACAGCACGATTCAGCCCGGCGAGTGCTCGCAATACTCTGTGTGTATAAAACTGAACTCTTAAGTACCATTAATACAAGCTATTTTTAAAAATTTCTTTAAGCGAAGCCAAAGCCATTGGAACTCAGAGCAGGATCATTCCATAGTGAAAATATTCAATATCCATTGATGACAGAATTACCGCTAACTTGTTCACTTTTATTTTTCACATTGCAATGAACATTTAAATTTCCTTTTTTTATTTTTTCTTTTACCTGCGACAAGTTTCTGTATTGCTTGAACTTGCTCCTGACTCAAAGCTCGGTTGTAGATCCGCATCTGAGCAATTCTGCCTTTGAAGTACCTCCTATCACCAGTCTTCATACCCATTCTGATGCTATCTTGAGTGGCTAGTTCAAGGCCCGCTCCAATGTTTAACGTCTGAACCACAGCTCCATTGACCCACAGTTTGGCTTCGCCAGAAGAACGGTCGTAAGATGCGCCAACAAACTTCCATCCACCTGCGAGACTGGTGTGCAACAAATGGTTGGTAGACGAATAATCTCGTTTTACGAAACGGACAAAAAGTTTCCCGGCGACAACCCATAAATGAACACCCCAGGTTGAACTTTTCTCGTAGCTGAAGAGCGATCCGTCTTTGCCATTATAGTAAACCCAGCACAGCATAGTCATCGAATATCGCACGTCTAAAGGTCCTCCAACCCTGTTGGGAAACTCGATGTAGCTGTTGGAGCTTCCAGAAAATTTATAAGAGTAGTTTGGTCTTCCATCGGGCCCTGGAGCCAGAGTAACCCCACGAGGAATCGCTTTCACTGCTCGGTTGTTAATCTCCTTGGTACCGTGCGCAGCATTGAGGGGGAAGAAGGCGACCGGATCTGGAACTTGATAAAAAAATATATATTTATTATTTTGAAGAAACTGAATTTTGAGACAGTGGATCAATGAGGAGGGATCGACCATGGGTATCAGTCCACAAATGAAAAATAAGGTTTATGATGAGAGTACAAAAGGATATCTTTGCTACTCCGTGTGTATCTTATGTTATTATACGTGGCCTAATTTTATGCCTGTAGTTATGGATTTACATATTTTTTAATCACCCATTAAAAGAGCTTCATAGCTTATAAACGTGTGTTTACACTCTTAACTCTTACTCCCTTTTCTTAATGATTGAATCCTATGGGGAAATTCAACCAGCTTCGCAAAATATGGCATAAATAAGGCTAGAATGTTTCTCAATAGTTTAGCAATTATGTACATATTTTAAAGAAGTGACGGCATTCAAAACTGAGCTGTAACCACCAACCAACCGTTTTTCCGTGTTTCTTCTTTCTTGGATAATTTTTTTAGCTCTTGTTCAATCGCTTCCAGTTTTGTTTTCATTTCTATGATTATTTTCTCGAGCCTGGGTCCAGCATGAAAACTATAATAGTTGTTTATGTTGCAAGTAGTTTCCTTTGGAGGTAGGTTATTCGGGCTTTGTGTTGTCACGGATTCTACCGTTTGTAGGAGCAACAGAAAGCAGATGAAGCCAGTGAAAATCATTCTGTATAATGTTTTGTACAGTTACACGTCTCTAAGTCGTGTTTGAAGGAAAAGATTGATGAGATATACAGCTAAGAACTGTCCTTTTATTTGACTGTATCATAAAGTATTCCGCCAATAAAACTGCACGAAGCTTTCACCTTGGCGGTAGAAATGTTTGAAAGGGCTATAACACGTGTCGATGAATGTTCGTGTAAAAGCCTGTTTACCTCTAATCAAAAGCCCCTTCTTTAACTGGATCGATTATGTCATATGCAGTGTAGAGTGACGTATACAAATTCCCTACACAGGGAATACTGAAGGGATGCAATGGAGCATTTTGACAAATTCATGTGGCAAGACCAATTCAATTTCTACCATGCTAGTGACGAAGACATTTAGCTGGAAAAAACCTTAATTTTCATTAAATTAGAGACATGATGTTTCATAAAGGGCTCCCATTCATGAAATTGGGTGGCGACGAAACGACATCGAGTGAGGTACTCAAGCGGAGCTTCCGTTGCTCGAGGCGAAACACGTTTTACAACATTTGCAACAAAACATGGTTAGCTAATTTAATGAATTCTCAAACGACTCATACAAACAAAACAACCAGAGATACGTTTTAAGATCGGATATGCTTAAGATATAATTCCTTAATTCGTTGTAAGCAGAAACCTTGAGACTCTCTGAACAGAGCATTAACAGCAAAGCGGCCGAAATGTCAGTACGAATCCTTAAAAGACCACGGAAAATAAATTATCTTCTGAATGGGTAATAATAAGAAAATTTCGTTAACTTCAACTCGAAACCGGCGCAATCTCTGTATGTCACTTAAAGGCTTTTATTAGAGTTTGATGTAATTCGTCGCCCAATTTGAAAATTAAGTGTGGCAGGATCAAAAATGATGGCAGTTTTCCTGTCGAAGGCCTCGATGAGTTTTCTGTACGCCTGAGTTAAACCAGAAACAGTGACATAAATGGTGTAGATTAGCAACGTTGGAATTGAAAAAGTATCGATTAACTAAAATTTTTGCGTAATGGAGAAGATATTGTTAACAAAAAAGCTGAAACCAGCGTTGATTACCTTGAAGTTCTCAAGCATGAAAAGGAACTTGTGTTTTGTTCCTGAGACAATTTCTTTGTGATGATCTTAACCTTCCCCCGATGTCAAAGTTGTCCGATCCGACGGCGATACAACCTTTGTTAAAAAAAAAAAACTCAGCATTTGATACGACAAAGTAAAACATTAAAAGAAAAAATATTCCTTATTATTTAAAAGGTGTAGCGACGAAACAAAACGAGGAAGTTGAAATGAAATTATACAGATGTCTCAGTACATATCTTGTCAACATACATCTAAAATGTGCATAAATTTCACATATGATTAATTCGCCTGTCCTGAAAAAAATTATGTTTCAAAATATTAAAAACTTCCACTGACAACGAAAACGGCCGAAAACTTGCCCCTCTTTGAGGTACTGAATTATACGCGATGAAAGACAAAAATTTACATTTTAGTTTTTAAACCGAGTGATACGACTCGATATTGACTGCAAAATATTCATACCTCATTTCTAATGCGACATAGACACTAGGATATTTTCTGTTGATAACCATAATATTAAATGACTACGGCAGAGCCGTCTGAAGGGAAGGGCCGAATTCAATAATTGTGTCACCGTGCCCATGTTTAGTTCTCCGTCCATCACTCTCTTTTTCGTAAAACTGTCAGTCGGTTGATATGTAAATAATTAAATAAATAAATTTATAAACGAATGAATGAATAAAGGGGAAAAGGCTCATAATTTGCCGCTGCATGGTCTCCTGATTCAAAGCAATTTGTGTGCTTTTTGTACTCTAAAAACGACGCCGTCTAACCAGTCTTTTGCTCGTTTCCTACATGAGACCCGTTCGTCTTCATTGGTACCTTTGGTTTTGGTGAACGGGTTCTAAAATATATTCACGAAGGAATGAAGAAATAATAAAAGTAGACAAGAGAGATGTAAAAGAGAGACTTGTTAAACAATATGCAGCTTTGATCAAAGACAAAAGATAATTTATGGGTAAATAACAAAGCAAATAAAAAAAGACCTTTAGCCTGAAGAGACAAGTCAAAATGAATAATCCAATCTCTATTTTGAATATACTGTTACGTCGGTTATCACAATTTAATAAGACTTTATTATTTCCTTGTGCCCTTAAAAAACTTTTAGATGCAACTAATCACGTTAATTTCCAATGACTAATAAGTTCACAAACCCTATGATTACTTATAAATCATGATACCCAAATGTACTGTACTCTCCTCTTATAAGGCTTTTCAGGGATACTAATTAACAAATAGAACGAAGAATCCCAATATAATGATTACAATGATGATGATGATAGTGATGATGATGAACATTGTTGTCTTTAAGGCCCGAAAGTTGGAAAGTACTACACCACTGGAGCGCTTGTCAGTTGGGATTCAAAGGAAGGCTCCCTTAAGTATGCCCTTAATTATCGCAATGGCCATGTTGGTGTCCCAAACCAGTCCTGTGGGAGTTGAACTCCTTTCTTATGCAAACGCTTTTTTTCAAACACTCTATAGTTCAGTTTAATTGCTATCTCTCTACCAATAACGTAAGTCACGCACTCACATGACGAGGAACGAGGCAAGCATTTTTTATCAGTCGACATCATACCGATGGGGTTAAAATGAATATGATAACCAAATAAGCGAAGTTCAAATAAACAGAAACAACGCCCAGGATATAGCAGTAAGAGGGCGTTCATGCTTTAATTAAGTCCTTTTTTTAATTTATATAAATGCTCACTGAAATCTAAGCATGTGGAACGATATTTAACTTCCCTGAAAATGTGCCTCCCCAAGAAAATTTAGAAAAACAATTAACCTGAAACGCACGGATCATGTAATTTTCTACTTTCTCTTCAGTCAAGCGCCAGTTCGTTATTGGAACAAGAAGAGAGCCTAAGCAACAACGAAGGCAACGGCAGCGAAAACGTCACCCAACATAACATAACATAACATAACATAAAACTTTATTTAAACTCGAATTTTAGAGTAGCTAACAAGCTAATATCTTCGAGCTGACACTACATAAAAACTATATAGAAAATATATATATACATTAAATGCAAGGAAAGAAAATATCATTTACAATTCACAATTTTAAGTTTAAGTATGTCAGGCAAAAAGAATCTACATGAAGGTAACATCCTGTATTTTAGTCTTAAAGTCTGCAAAAAAACTGGTACGAAAAAAGTTTGACAGTGCATTCCACTGCTTAGCTGAAAAAGTAAGAAAAAGGAGTTAAGACCATAGGTAGTTGTTTCACGTTTACTTAGTGAAAGAATGTAGTTGCCACGAAGATCATAGGAAGAGGACCGGAGTGAAAACATATTCTTCATATAAGTAGGAAAATGAGTGAAAAACAAACTCTTATATAACAGAATGAGGAAATTTTGAATGCGTTTGTTAAACAAAGAAGTAGAGCTGACTTTTGAGAGAAGAGTGTTGTATGGAGACGAGTAATCTCCAAGTATAAATCTAAGTATTCTTTTATTTAAAGCTTCGAGCTTATCCGCATCGCGCGCACCACAAAAGTGCCAGACAGAGGAGCAATAATAAAAGTGAGGTAAAATATACGCTTTGTAAAGTTTGAATAAGATTTCCTTGCGTATGAGTTTTCTAAAGCGCAACATAACATTGAATTCTCGCTGTTTTAAAATTTTCGCCCTTATTCCAACTCTTTTAATTTGTCCAATGTTAGCAATTTTTAAGGAGTTGAATTCTGAAGGAGTGTATCTAAGTTTACAAAAAGAAAAAGAAAATCGTTGTCTTGTGTTCACGTGCCCTCCACGTGAAATTAGGAAGTTTCACGTAGTATTCGTGCTGTGATGGCACAGAAATGTACAAAAAAGCGTGATGCACGTGCAAAGTTGTTGTTTGTCAATCTAAACCTACCGCTTTTTTGCCGTTCCAGTTGCTGTTGACGTTGTTATTACTTAGGGTCCTTAGTAGCATGGCTTATGGCGCTCAAATGTGAAATCACTCTCCTTTAGCCTGCGTGCAGGCGTCTTTTATCTCCTATGTTCCACGCTGGCGAAAAAAAAAAACAAGGAGACGTCTACACTTAGATTAACTCTCCTTCAACCTTGAACAAAGTTGACTCTTCAACAGATTTATTATGCTCTCAACGATGATGTATATTTCCCCCATTAGGCTCTTTAATATCGACGACGCTACCAACTTCAACTTCTAGTAAAATAAAAAAAGAGAGTTGAAAGGGGAGTGGGGTCGATAAAAGCTTTCCCTGAGCAAGGAGGCAACGTAGCTGAATATCGCGAATGCAGTCAGCTACCTTTCAACGGATCCCGCACCTTGCAACCGATGTCTATTTCAAAAGTAAGGCAAGGGTGGCATCGTGAAAGCATTGCCTGAGTAACAGGCGTTTCTGGGCAAAGAGCGAAAAGGGGAGAAAGCGACACGTCAACAGATGCGTACTTAGAACCAGAAGGCTTGTTTGACAAAACTCTAACGCAAAACTGACAATTTTGGGCTTAGCTTCCATATCCTTAACTTGCAGTTTTCAGAAAAAAGGCAGTTTAAACTTTGTACTAAATCCGTCTAGAAACCTATTCATGTGCGCTCACTTTAGAGTAATTGCAATATCGAACTACATAGACCTGAAGTCTTTTTCCAGTGCTGTGTCACTGACAAAAATCCAGCAGACGGCTACTTTAAGGGTGTCGGTCCTATGAAAATGAACAGCCTCGTGCCCTGACACTGGGCTTCCACCTATAGCTTAAAAACCAATATTCGTATTAATTCGTATTACTTATAAGCATAAAAGAAAATACAGAGAGTGTTATAATCCTTAAACTTTTCTAGCTAGACAACGTAGAGCTACATATTTTAAATGTTCGTGTTACTTGAGTTTCAATCTCGTTTTATTGCTCTTATCTTGTAAGGAGAAGGAAACTGGACCAATGCTCGGCGAGGCTTAAGCGATGGTGCTTTTTGACCTTCCTCGGGCACGAATGTAAACTTGTGCAACATCCAAGACAAAAACATA